CTTGTACCCTAACCCAAAGCACTTCAGAGTGCCCCTTCCCTTTCAGATTAAGTTTTACCTATATATTTTGTTATCCATTCCACAATTATAGTTTGTGTAAAACCATGACTGAGGTCTTAATGGTGCAAAAAACCCCCAAACAGTTATATCATACAGGGCTAGTCTTTTCACAGAGCAAAATAGAACTTTTATTTCAGACTTTTTTCACATTATTCTTAAGGCAAATTTATATCAGAATACAAGAAATTAATGGCCAATCAGAAATAAAGGATTAAAAGAATATTGGTAGTTAATAGCAGATACTTTCATTGAGAAGCAAATTAATATTTTCAAGCCTATGTTCTATGCACAATTCATGTGACACTCAAATTAAATAAGAACAAAACAAAGGAACAATTAAAGTTTTCTGAACATCTCAGTTTTGCTTCTGCAAACTAACACAAACATGGCAAATTTTCTTCTGAATTCCTTTCATGTGTCTATCCAGTTTTTAAACTTTAAACAGGGCCTGCCTCCAGCGGCTTCTAAAATTTTTATAGCAAGGGTTTACCTAGTCTTTTTTACCTAGTTTTCTCTTAGAGAGTACCTTTGGGTATGCTGGGAACCACTGCTGTTTAAAAGACATATCTGGGAACTCACAGATATATTCATAAACAAACAAAAGCCTGCTGTGCCCCCGTTCCCCCGAAGCCCCCCAGAGACCCCTCCCAGCAGCAGCAGAGCCCCCCACCGAACCCCAGCACAGCCGCAGGCAAGCTGGACCAGTGGTGGGAGGGGGTTAACCCCTTAGTGAGTGGGAGGAAGTGGCTGATGGGAGCCGGGCCTGGTCAAGCCCCGCCCAGGCCCCTACTTGGCCCAGGCCCCCAGGGAGAGAGAGAGTTGGGGGGGTACTCACCAGTCTTCAACCAGTAGGGCAGGGCCCCCCAAATCCCAGGCAGGGCCCCCCATTGCCCAAGAGCAGCTTCCCTGACAGCGGGCCCACTGTGCATGCGTGCAGTTTAAAAGGGCTCACCAACAGCAAAAAAGCCCCAGTTAGGCTCCGGAGTGGCGAGAGACACACGGGTGAAAGCCTCCTGTGTTCCCGCTCCCCTGAAGTCCCCCAGAGACCCCACAGCAGCCACAGAGCCCCACCCACCAACCCCCAGCACAGTCAGAGGCAAGCGGGGCCGATGGTGGGAGGGGGTTAACACCTTAGTGAGTGGAAGGAGGCAGCTGAGGGGAGCTGGGCTGGGTCAAGCCCTGCTCAGGCCCCTACTTCACCCAGCCCCCCAGGGAGCCACGCAAACAGGTCCGCTTGTCTGCCGGTGCATGAATTAGCGTGGAGTTCACATAGGAGGGTGCTCAGGAGGGCCCGAGACCCTGCCTGCAAACTCCCCAGGGTAGATAGTCCCAGCTGTAGCCAGCCTACCAGAGGCATGACGTGGATGGGCATGCGCTGCACCCTGAGGGTCCTCTTGGGCTCTGCACCCCCCCCCCGGCACCTCAGAGATGGCCACCCAGTCGGAGCCCATGGTTCCAGGCTCCATGCAGATGGAGCACCTGGCACTTGGCTGTGGGGGCTGCCTGTCCCTTTTTCAGACTCTGGGGCCCTGGGAGCATGGCCACCTCCCCTTGTGGGATCTGCTCCCTTTTGGAGTCTCTGGCGTGCCAGCTGGAGGAGCTCCAGGCCACAGTCCAGAGACTGCGTGCCATCACGGACTGCGAACAGGAAATAAACTCATACTGGCAGGCCCTTCTGCCCTGAGAGCCAGAGGGTAGACCACCGTCTCCCTCCAGGACAAAGGAGCACTCCGGGACCTCCCACTCTGTCCAGTCAGGGACATGGACCAAGGTGGTCAAGGGCCCTAAGGCCCACCACACCAATGCCCCTGCCCCACCAGAGCTTAGCAACAGGTATGCACCTCTTGCTGATACAGAAGAGCCTGCTGAGTTGCCAGATCCCGCAGGCAACACAGACCCAACTGCAGCTCCCGCCCCCGCTCTCCCCAAGACAAAACGTGAGGTGTTTGTTGTGGGAGACTCCATCCTGAG